CTTCTCCGAATTTTTTTAATTGAATTGCCTTGGGAATTCCCGCAATTGCCAATTTGTACTTTTCTTTTTGCTCAGTACACATTCTGCTGTTTATGCATATGTACGTATGACCGCACATACTTTCATACATTTGTTTGCCGTTTTATGGTAAGAATGACAATTGTTGCTTTACGCCTTAAAATAATCAAATAATGAAAAGTAAATTTAATAAAATGTTGAGATACTGGTATATAATGATTGCAGCTTGCTTTGAGTATAGCATAAACGACCACACGTATAATTCATAGCGAAGTGAAATAGAATACCTATTCCTGTTGACACCCTCCTCGAGTTACCAACTGGTTTAAAAAAAAAAAAGTTAAAGGCTTGGATATTTATGTTGTTTCAAGTTAAATCGTATTTCATTTGAAATATAACCAAGATTTATTACATAGAACTCACTTTTAAACTTACCGTTAGGAGGAATAAAATAGCGGACGATTAAATTACGCAAACAATAAAATATACCGGATAGTCATAGTCTTTATTTATACTACATGTTTACTTTAAAGTTAATCACATTTTCGTTGTTGTAACGTATCGAATATTGTTTGCTTGTTGGTTATATAAATCCATGCACATTTTTTGGTTTTTAGAATTTTTAAAGTTGTTCTAAATCCTTTTTGAGTTACTAACAAAAATCGGTAATTTTAAAATTACAGATTTTTATATTTAATTTATTTTTAATTTTAAACAAGCAAAAAGATCTTTAGGAGTATTGTTGGAGCCGTTATATGGGGGCCATACTAAAACAGGAGCCTATATAGACAATTTTATGCTACAACGATTGTAACCTATTGCGAATCTTAAATAACAAATTTTATATAATTTCGTGGGTAAATGTAACTAGGATTTCTAGGACCAATACAGGCAATGTTTTGACGTCAGTTGTAGGATCCATTATGAAACACAAATACCAAATTTCACACAAATCTATTAGAAAATGTTATTTAAACCACAATCAAAATAGCGAATATCCGAAGTTACCGTTATATGTACGCTACAAGAAAACATGGACCTTCTGCCACCGGAACTATAACCCAAAACCAACTACAAATACCAATTTTTATACAAATTTGTGGGAAAATGTGAACAAAACCATCAAAATGGATCTATATGTACAATGTTCCTCAATGGAGTTAGAACCTTTAACGAGCTACAAATACCTTCTTATAGGGTATATTAACTTTGTCATTCCGTTTGTAACATCCCAAAATATTCATCGTAGACCCCATAAAGTATATCCATTCATAATCAGCATAAAATTCTAAGTCGATTTAACGATCTCCGTTTGTCTGTTCGTTGTTTGTTTAAATAGCGATATTATTTGACGTAGAGTGTCAAAATTTAGCAGAGCAATTTGAATTGTGCCTAGGATGGTTGGTATTGAAAATGGGATATATCGGTTCACGTTTTGGTATAGTCCCCATATAACGGTACCTTTCGATATTGGGTATTTTGTTGATTTTTGCCACATTTTTCTACAGATTTGTAATAAAATTCTAGCTCGTGTGGCGAAACATTGTATGTATAGGTTCACGTTTTTGTATAGATATCTCTCGATATTCGTTATTTGGTTGATGATTTTTTCCACGGATTTATCTAAAAATTGGTATTTGTCGGCCATAATGGGTTCTAACTCCGGTGGCGAAACATGGTATGTATAGGTCCACGTTTTTGGTATAACCCTCATATAACGGTACCTTTCAATATTCAGTATTTTGATGATTTATGATTTGATTGATCTGATTTTCTTCACGGATTTGTCTAAAAACTTGTATTTGTAGTTCATAATGGTGACAGGACATTAAATATTTGGCTTCACGTTTTCTTATAGCGCACATATACCGATATCCACCGATACTCGGTATTTTGAAAATCCTAGTCACATTTACCCTAAAATTGATTCATTCCTAATTTCAATACACACAAAAAAAAAGAAATTGATATTTGATGTTTTGTATGCCCGACGTATTTGGGCAACATTCATATCAATGCATGTGTTTTACTTGTGTGGTGAAATACGTCGACAGAGTACGTCGAATTTCCGGTAACGCCGTAATGCAGAAGTTGAATATTTGATCACCTATGTTGAATTTGAGGTAACGCTGAAGTTTTTTGTTGAAAGTAAGTAAAACTTCAAATTTGCATTGTCAATGAAATTCGAAAACATCAACTGCAATTAGCCTTAAAGCAATGGAATTTTGAATTTGTTGTTGTAGTTTTTGCCTTCAAGGCTGGTAAGTGAAAAGCATTTGTGAATATGTATTGTTCGCCTTTGTTTACATTCATATTTGATTTTGTACCAACAAATTCTCAAATGGTTATTGTTTAAAATTCCTGTACAATAGCTTATTCTTGAGTTTTCCATTGAGTTAAATATTGAAACAAATTGCTATAAAAAAATACAAACATTTTAGGAACAATATTACAAATACTCCTTTTTGTTTAAATATTTTATATTCTCCATCATAATATGTAAGATATTTAATTTTTTTTTTTCGTTTAAACGGTTTTTGTTTGCGCAGTATAAATGTGCGAAAAGTATGATAATAAATTTGGGATTGGGTCTTAGAATAGAGCTGGCATACTTAAATTTGATATTGAGTCCACTGTTGACATATAGTTTTGAGAAAAGGAGGTGGATTTGGGAATGTCTACTATGATTTTTCGATAAGTACTAAATGGTGTTACATTTGCCGTTGAGTGAATGGATCCTAGAATTTGATATTTGGCTTCTAAGATTTAGATATGTTGGTGACCAATTTTTAATATGAAAGCAGTAAAGAATGGCTTAAAGTCGGGCGGGCCGACTTAATGATACCCTACAGCAGTTTGTACATGTAAATGGATTTCTACTAACTTTGCGGAGGCTTTTTTGTTTGAACCTATGTTTATCAAAATTAATCTTATTGTAGAAGATATTACACTTTTTAGTCCCAATAAACGTGAAGAATATTGAATATTGTAATGGCTTATGACTAAAGATGCCTATGCAGGTCCACGTCGTCGTATAGACACTAATATAACGGATACATGCGGTATTTTTATACCCTCCACCATACTATGGGGGGTATATTAACTTTGTCATTCCATTTGTAACTCCTCGAAATACTCATGTCAGACCCAACAAAGTATATATATTCTTGATCAGCGTAAAATTCTAAGTCGATTTAGCGATGTCCGTCTGTCTGTTGTAATCACGCTATCTTTCGAATGAATTGAGATAGATGGCTAAAATTTTGCACACATGTTTATTTTTCCAGTAGGCAGGTTAAGTTCGTAAATGGGCCATGTAGGTCCACGTCTTCATATAGCCCCCATATAACGGTACCTCCCTATATTCGGTATTTTGATGGTTTTAGCGATATTATTAATCGGAATCGTTTCAAAATTGGTATTTGAAGTTCGTAATGAATACTACAGTCTAAGATAGAAAATTGTCTGTGCAAGTCCATGTCTTCGTATAGCCCCCATATAACGGTACCTTCCGATATTCGGTATTTTGATGATTTTAACGACATTATTCACGGGAATTGTTTCAAATTTAGTACTTGAAGTTCAAAATGGATACTACACCCTAAGACAGAAAATTGTCTGTGCAGGTCCACGTCTTCGTATAGCCCCCATATAACGGTACCTCCCTATATTCGATATTTTGATGATTTTAGTGACATTATTCACCGGAATTCTTTCAAAGTTGGTATTTGAAGTTCGTTATGGGAAGTACAGTCTGTGACAGAAAATTGTCTATGCTGGTCCAGGTCTTCGCACAGCTCCAATTTAACGGTACCTCCTTATATACGATATTTTGATGATTTTAGCTACATTATTCACAGTTTATTACAATTTTCGAATTTGAATATGGTAATGGCTTATGACAAACAATGCCTGTGTATGTCCACGTCGTATAGAACCCAATATAACGGCTATATTCCGTATTTTTAAAATTTTAACAGAATTTTTTAAGGATTTTATTTTTTGAAAATTTCCAAATTCGTTGCAAAAGGTGGTATTAAAAGTTCGGCCTGGCCGAACTTACTGCTTTTTAACTCGTTTTAAGATTTAACTTCATAATGAATACTACAGCCTAAGATGGAAAATTGTCTGTACAGGTCCACGTCTTCGTTTAGCCCCCATATAACGGTGCCTTCCGATATTCCATATTTTGATGATTTTAGCGACATTATTCACCGGAATTGTTTCAAAGTTGGTATTTGAAGTTCGTAATCGATACTACAGCCTATGACAGAAAATTGTATGTTCAGGTCCACGTCTTCGTATAGCCCCCATATAACGGTACCTCCCTATATTCGGTATTTTGATGATATTAGCTACATTATTTACGGAATTTTTTTCAAGTTTCGCATTTGAATGTTATGACATTTGAATGACTTATGACAAAAGTTGCCTTTGCAGGTCACCGTCAACGCATAGACACTTTAAAAAATGCTACATGCGGTTTTTATAATATTTTAACAGAATTTTTAACGGATCTTATTTTTTTTTTTTTTTTTTTTTTTTTGAAAATTGCCAAATTCTTTGCAAATCGTGGAAAATATTCAAAGATCGGTCCGGCTGTACTTACAGATTTTTTACTTGATTTTAAAAATATATGAATGTAAAAATCTGTTTCTTTTTAAAAAGCTGAAATTATCGAATACCTTAAATGGAATATGATTAGAGATGACATTTACCGTTTAAATACCCGTTTCTGACTGACAATTAATGGCAACGAAGTCTTGTGTTCGGCAGTGAAATCGTATCAAAATGGCAATTCTTAAAAATTGTGTTTGTTGTATTTTATCATTTTTCCCTACAATATTAAAGTTTTTCGTGTCTGTGTTTAAAAACTTATGAATGTAGCTGCTCAAATACCCAACAAAGGCAATGCATACTTAGAGCCTCAAATGCAGATATACCAATGACCTGCCACAACCAATCTCAATACCGATACATACCTGGTCGGAGCAATCCATAGGTGCCACTGAAATATCACGCACAGCACGAAATTTACCGCAATTATTTAAATGTTCATTCTCGAGTCGAAAATAATTCCAAATGAAACGACGAAACACTTCCAGTGGACTAAGCAACGTTACCATGACATCGCCTTCCATGTAGCCAGCCTCAATTAAACTCATCGACACCGTCCAGGCGAATCGCAGTATTAAATCCTCAATAATACCAAAGTAATAGAACCACTGATGCGTCAGCCCCAAGTTCAGATTAACAGGTTGATGTGAAACATGCAAAAACAAAGAGAGGTAATAAATTAATTTTTTTCGTAATAGATTTCTAACTGTGGCCTCACACGAAGGTACGCCGCAGCTGTGATGTTTGTACTGACAGCATAGGAAAATTTTACGACACAAAACGTAAGGCCATAACAACAGTTATGTGGGTGTTTGTCCTGGCTACATTCATTGTGTGCGTCCGTTTTTGTTTATCAAGTTTGATGAGTATGGAAGTGGAAATTAGAAACACTCATTTATATTGCTTTATTTAATGGCAAACAATTTTTTCTAACTAACAACGGTTCGTTGCATGGAGCTTGACTGTCGCTGTGTTTGCTGTGTATTATGAGGCGTTATGATTTTTGCTAATATTTGTAATTAAAAATTTAAAATATTTTAAAGGCAACTTGAGCCCCTCAACATTTTTTTCTGAAATATATATGGGGAATTCCAAATGAAATCAGACATTTCGAAGAAAAGTAATTTGATTTCACTTATTTTTGGCTTGAATGATATTATTTGTATTCCTTTTTAATGATCATATTTTTATTTATTTATTTTATTGGTTCTAGATGATTATTCAAAAAGAAGGGTAATTAGGTCCAATATTTACTATTATTATGTAGTAGAGGGGGTATTGGGGATGTTTCTTTGGATAATCTTCATTCTAGTCAAAAAGGTTTGAGATCTGCAGAAACTTTATCCCAAATTGTAGTGTTGAAGGACATAAAATGGTCGCCCCCACCCGACTATGGCCTTTGCTTACTTGATTTTGTATCCTCCACCATAGTATGGAGCGTATATAAAGATTGTCATTCCTCACAAAGTACAGGGTGAGATGAAAAAACTGCAACCAACTTCAGACTGCTGTCATTTCTAACCACTCGTCCGACAACTGTTAAAATTATTCCAGTGGGAGCTCATTATATTGTTTACAAGTATACAAAAGCATTTTGATGAGAATTTTCCAGAAAAAAACCAGTAAAGAAAGTCCTAAAGTCGGGCGGGGCCGATTTTATGATACCCTACACCACTTTACTAATTTAGTAGAGCTGCGCATAACAATTAAAAGATTTTTATGGGAGAATTCAATCATACACGCTATGATTATAATTATAATTTAAAATTCAAAGTAATAAATATGCCGAAGCATTTGTATCTTTTAAATTCGGACTTGTATTGCCCATTTGGTGCAAAATTAATTTGAAATCAGATAAAGATATATATGGGAGATATATCCAAATCTGAACCGATCTCGATAAAATTTAGTAAAATTTGTGCTGTATTTGATTTATTTCCCTGAATATCGTTGTTACGGAGTGCATATTACGGCTGTGGGTAACAAATACAACAAATCGGATGAACAATATATATGGGAGCTATAGCTATATCTGAACCGATCTTCACCAAATTTGGCATACTACCTTCTAGACTCAATTCGGTTGTATGTGCCAAATTCCATCGCATTTGGTAAAATATTATACGTTTGGTGCACAATAAAAGGTAAATCGGACGAAGTTATATATGGGAGCTATATCCAAATCTGAACCGATCTCGATAAAATTTAGCAAAGGTATTTCTGAGCTGCATTTGATATATTTCTCCAAATATTGTTGTTACAGAGTGCATATTACGGCTGCGGAGGACAAAACTAACAAATCGGATGAACAATATATATGGGAGCTATATCTAAATTTTTACCGATTATCTCCAATTTCAATAGGGTTCATCCTTGGGCCAAACAAATGCTGTTTGGAAAATTTCATCTCAATCGGATAATAAATGCGACGTGCATTTTGTCCACAAGAATACATGGACAGACGGACGGACAGACGGACTGACATGCATAAATCAACTCAGAAAGTGATTCTATGCAGATCATCAAAAGGAACTTTGGGTCTATCTCGTTTCCTTTTGCCTGTTACAAACAAATGCACAAAGACATAATACCCTGCAACCTTGTGGTGTAGGGTATAAAAATTATTCGTGATGTCATTCAAGCGTGATAGTGCGATTTCTTTATATTTTTCTGGAAAGCCACAGCATTTTAAATACGAATAAAAAAACATTTTGGCCGCAGACCTTGGACATTCCAATAGGACCACCCAAGAATGGATCCAAAATGAGGTTCCTCGCTTCATTTACAGCGCACAATGGCTACCAAAATATTACATATTTTAAAGATTTTAACAGAATTTTTAAAGGATTTTATTTTTTGAAAATTTTCTAATTCATGCCACGCGGTGGAGGGTATTCAAAGTTCGGCTCGGCCGAACTAACTGCTTTTACTGTTTTTATCACACCCTTATATATATATATATATATATATATATATATATATATATATATATATATATATATATATATATATATTTATATATATATTTATATATATATATATATATATATATATATATATATATATATATATATATATATATATATATATATATATATATATATATATATATATATTTATTTATATATATATTTATTTATATATAAAAAGCAGTAAGTACGGCCGGGCTGAACTTAGAAAATTTAAAAAAAAACAAAATCCATTAAAAATTCTGTTAAAATCTTTAAAATATCTATTATCGGAAGGTGCTTTTAGGGGGGATATACGATATTGTTGGCCTTAAATAGACAATTACCTTTCAGGGGTTAAATTGCTCACAAAGAACTCCTTGTGCGGATTTTCAGACAATACCATAAAAAAATATGGCTAAAATCATCAAAACACCGAATATCGGAAAATTCTGAGGTATAAAGTACCCACAAAGTACTCCTTGTGTGGATTTTCAGACAACTCCGTTGAAAACTGTGGGTAAAATCATCAAAATTGCGAATATCGCTGTATGGGGGCTATACGATATCGTGGACCTATATAGATAATTCTCTTCCGAGGTACAAATTACCCAAAAGGTACTCCTTGTGTGGATTTTCACACAATTCCGTTGAAAAATGTGGTAAAATCATCAAAATACCGAATATTAGGGGGTACAGTTATACGATATCGTGGACCTATATAGATAATTTTCTTACAAGGAATAACGTACCTACAAGAAACTCCTTGTGTGGATTATCAGACAATTCCGTTGAAAAATGTGGCTAAATTATCAAAATACCGAATATCGGGGGGTACCGTTATATGGGGGCTATACGATATCGTGGACCGATATAGCCCATCTTCGAACTTGACCTGCAAACAAAAGAGGGATCTGTGCAAAATTTTAGCTTCCTATCTTAATTCGTTTAGAGTGTAGCGTGAGTACAACAGACGGACAGGCGGACGGACATGGCTAAATCGTCTTAGAATTTTACGCTGATCAAGAATATATATACTTTGTTGGGTCTAAAATGATTATTTCGATGAGTTACAAACGGAATGACGAACTTAATATACCCTACTATGTTCCATCCGATTTGGTCTTAAAGTGCCTAACATTCACAATATACTCTCCAAAGTACTTATATAAAACATTTAATATACCTCTGCCATTGCATACGTATATCATCAATGACACTAAAGAACTTTTGTTGTTACAATCAAGTGCGCAAAATAATAAAATCCTGTACCACAGTGTGGCGTAGGACATTAAAACGATGAGATTTTTGTGTTGACGTTTAAAATACAGGTAAGCAAAATGTGAATCAGTAAAACCTCAAAAGTATTAGAACTCCTCCTCCTTGTCACGCGTTATGGAGTTGTGTGTGTAAATCTTCATCACTTACACTAAAAATTTGGTCGTCCTGCTTTAAACCAGCCTAATTAGTCACAACTATTCCGTGTGACATGTACATGAAAAACTGGTTCAGTGGTTTTGTGAGTGGTTACAAATGCCACATCCAAAATGAGCATTTTTTATACAATGTCAAATCAAAAATCGTGCATCCAAACACGCACAATTAAGTTGTAAACGCGAATGGATTAGGTTTTTGTTAACTTTTATTTCTTTGGAAGTTCATAAATGATTGTCAGTTCATAAATGATTCATTTTCTATTCTACCGATTTTTTTTTGTTTTTTAATTTTATATTGACTCTAACAACAAAACAAATTTATTTATTCTTATTAAATTAAATATTAAACACAGCTGCGAACTTCCCTCAGGTCATGCCAAAATAAATAATTGTTCTTACCGTAGACGAGTAAACAATTTCCTCCCTCAGAAATGTATTATCACCAGCTTTAGCATCGAAAAGTCCCCAATCGAATTTGATGTCCCACGTGTATGCATAGCAGGAGGATACAATGGCAGCGAAAATCCAACAATAAAACCAAGGATTATCTCTCGAATTTGGGTATTCAACTGAAAAAAATAATAATAGAAAAATAGAATATATTAACTGCTATGTTTTTGGGAATATGTTCAATCATGGATATGTATAATGTAAGTACGTATGTATGTGTGTATGTGAATATGCATGGAAATCAAATATATATGTATATGTCTTCCCACTGCTTTAATTTTGGCAATTATGATTGCCATAGTTGTCAGCTTACAAACAAACTGATAATTTCGGCATTTATAATTGCCTAATATAAGTCAGTAACATGATTATTTATTTTTATACACTCAGTACATTATTTCAGTTTCCTATTAGCCTTAATGCGGGTTGTGTAGGATAATTTAGTAGCAATTCTATTTTTGGCCAGATTGGCCTACATAAATAACAAAAGTTGACAAACACAAACACAACCTTTGCAATTATGTGGCATATTTACATACTGCCGGGAATTTGTTAAGGACTCTATTTATTGAGGTGATCTGAAATAAATATAAGTAATCTATTTATACCGTACACCAAACTGTGGTACAGAATATAATGTTTTTGCGCATTTGTTTATAACTTGCAGACGAACGTTTTAAAAAACAAAGTCACAGTTCGCATTTACTGTGCATTCAAGTGAGGATTTTGAACCCAATTGAAAGTGATGATAATCGGTCACAATTTAGATATAGCTCAATTCAATTTATTGTGCACTGTGTAATATTGGTCCAAAAAGGTTGGAAGTGGCAAAAGCGAGCGAATGTAGCTTATATATAACTATGGGAACTTGGATGAAAATCTTTTCAAATATATCTGGAGCTTTCAAATATATTTTCCACTGATTTGACGTTTCTTGTGCACCAAATTTGTAATCTCAGCCAGCTTGGATGGGCAAGGCACACATTCCAAATGACAATGAAATAAGAGATATAAAGCGTGTTTGGTGCATCAAATCGGTGCAATCGGAAGAAAGTACATATGGAAACTATATCCAAATCTGAACCGATTTTTATATAATTTGACAAATTTATTTTTCTACCGAATTCTGGTGCATTTTCCAAATTTGTTTGAAATTGGAGATACCGAAATTGATGCATCAACTGCATGCATTTTATTTTTCATTCAAATTCCATTATGCATTCCAAATTTGAAATCTGTATTTGTAGTCGATCAGTAGATATGTGCACACAAAATCTAAATTTTTTGGAGGTACCTCCGATTCTGTAGCTATATCTACAGCTCCAAGTTAAATTTCAACAAGTAAAAAATCAGCTAAATTCGACCGGGTCGAACTTTTAATACCCTCCACGATTTGTAAGGAACTTGAAAAAAACTTAAAAATATCGCTTATGCATGGATCTGCATAAACAATTTTCTATCATAGGTTTTGTTGTACCCATTAGGAACTACAAATACGAAATTTGAAACGATTACGGCAAATAATGTCGTTAAAAAACATTAAAAACGAGTAAAAAAGCATCTAAGTTCGGCCGGGTCGAACTTTTAATACCCTCCACCATTTTGAAGGAAATTGAACATTTAAAAAAAAAATAACGAAAACTACCACTTAAATGAAAACCGTTATATGGGGACTATACAAAGATGTGGACCTGCATACGACTTTTTTGCCATAAGTTGTAGTACCCAATAACATCTTTCAATACGAAATTTGAAACGATTCCCGTGAATAATGTTGCTGAAATCGTCAAAATACCGACTATCAGGAGGTGTATGTGGGTATACGTAAACGTGGACCGACATGGCCTATTTACGAACTTTACCTGCCTACTGGTAAACTATACATGCATGCAAAATTTTAGCCTTATATCTCAATACGTTCGAAAGATAGCGTGATTACAACAGACAGACCGACATCGCTAGATCGTAATAGAATTTTACGCTGATCCAGAATAGATATACTTTGTAGGGTCTATTATGAATATTTAAAGGAGTTACAAACGGAATGACAAAATTAATATATCCTCCATAGAATGGTGGAGGGTATACAAATCATAAAAAACCGAATATTGGAAGGTACCGTTATATGGGGGCTATACAAAAAAATGGACCAACATGGCCCATTTCGAACCTGCCTACTGGCACTTGTGTGCAAAATTGTATCCTCTGCACCCTGCAACACTGTGTGTTGAGGGTATTATGTACAGTTCACAATTATCGTCCGATTCTCACGAAATTTTGCATGCGGTCGTTTTTGAAGATGTACATTTAGGGGTTTAAATGGACCAAAAAATTAAAATTTTCCTGATTAGCATTACAGGTCACAATTGAACCCCAATCGACACAGAATTCAGCATGAGAAGAGAGTTAAATACGTGGAAGACTACGAGCATTTGGAATGACCATTGGATTATATTTAGCTGTAAAATGGACCACATGTTTCATTTGAAATTGTTTTCAATACCTAACCACAGGACGGAGTGCTAACATATTAGGCAAATGCCCCCGGTCAAAAAACTAAAGGCAATATCTGGGCAGATCTCTAGACATTATTTCAAAATGGTTTTGGACATAAGGAGCTTTCCAATATAATGGATATCATGCTTACTTGTTACAAATAGAAAATGAAGTTTGCACAAGAAATGTTTACGTTTTGCCTAGTACTGAAAGTACCATCGACTTCGTATATATCGAATGACAAAGTACTTAATAGAATAAATACTAATTGAGAACTTATGTCAACAACTAACAAGTAAGCAAAGGCTACAGTCGAGCGGGGCTGAGCGTTGAATACCCTACAACACTATAATAAACCATACAGTTTATATAGGCGAGATACTCGAATAAAATCAACAAGATATTGTGACAAATAATTAAAGAAAACCATCATGTTTCGTTCTCTAATTTTCGAATAATAGCAACTTAAACGAATTTGCTCATTTCCAATTTATTGGTAGATGTTGCACGTAAATGGTCTTCCTAGATCTGGAACCAATATTTCTCAAAGACCTATAATCTCTCAGAAGTGGCAAATGATTAACATTTATTATTGGTTTTTGACTGAAACGCATCTATATGAGATACAGACATTTGACTATATTCTTCAACGAAATCAGCGTTAACGAAATAGTCAGAAGTGCGTCTTTCCTGAATTTGTGAATTCTCCAAAAAGTCGCTGGAATGGACATTTTCGTATTTAGTCTACAAAAGTTGGTAAACTATTTCACACATTGAATATTTTTGGATGGCCATCCGAAACTGCTTGGCTTTTGCAATGTGCGGTAACCCCCATTCAAATGTGCGTGAGGATCGGGCGATAAATACGACCTGCTGACAATTTTGCAGTTTTTTGGTCCATTTCAACCCCTAAATATATAACGATCACCTCCACAAAGAGTAGGCATCTATTCTGACCCCCATCTTATCCCCATCCAAAATTTCGTAAGTATCGGGCCATAAATGCGATCTGTATATGATATCCTGATATCCTAACTACTTAGTTTTGTTAGCTGTAGAAATATTACCAAATGTTTAATTCAAAATGAAAATATGCCAAAAATATGACAAAATTGAAAAAATATGAGAAAATTTTACAAAATCCATATTTTCATTTTTAGAGAGATATTTTTATGCGATTTTTTTAGACGTTTTTTCTTTCCTGCCAAGAAGCCATTCTGAATTAATGAGAACTGTCGAAATCAGTTCAGCCGTTCTCGACATATAAGAGATTTTTCAAGCATATCTTCTTTGATAAACATATATATCGCACATATTTTGCTATATATCCGTTTTGTTGGATGTTAACATCAATGTAAAAATCAGAAGTAACCTTGCCATGGCTTTGTGATTTCGCCGGGATTTAAAATATTCGCGGTTTAATGAAACATTTTGAATTTTTTCAACACAAAAGATATGGTCTATTTTACCCGCTAAATATTATCCGATGACCACCCAAATTGTTAGGCTTCTTCCCCGCCCTAAACTCTAGCTACATGCGAAGTTCCGCGTCGATTGGTCTATAATTGCGACCTGTATAGCTACTGCAAAATCCGACATTTTTTCTGTTTTTGGTCCATTTCGACCCCTAAATATTATGCGATCATCTCATAGGGTTCTATTCTGACCCTAGCCCCACCTCCATTCTAAATTTCGTGAAGACCGGGCCATAATTGCGACCTGTAGAGTGATTACAAATTAACATGGACAGATGGACAGACGGACAGACGGACGGACGGACATACATAGCTAGATCGACTCAACTCGGCGAGATACGAAGATCCATATGTACTTTCCTATGTGGGAAATCAATATTTCGAGGTGTTACATAATTTTTGGCCCAAACAAACTTATAATACCCCCAACACATAGTGTTGTAGGGTATAAAAAAACAAAATCGCGGACCTTATGGCATATTGAGCAACAAAAGCACACAATTTTTAAAGTAAGGAAAACACGGTGGCTTAAAACATGCAAAACGGGTCGGGTTACAAAAATGAACCTCTAGCGGCATATCAATTTATTTATGTTTTCAAATTGTTACAAAGTTCATGTTAAGTTCCAAAGTTGTCTGATAGTTGTAGTAAGGTCTTTACCATCTCACACCATGCTCATTTCTATAAAAAGTGGCAGATATTGTTTTGTGGCATGACCCCATTGGCACGGGGATTTAGAAAACACACACAAAAATACAAACAAATGAATGTCAAACTAAATGTATTTGCCTTACTTGGCAATTATATTTTAGCATATACATATCAAATTAAATGTTAACACAAATATTTGTCTTGCCATTTTTATTAACTTTCGGATAACAAAAATAGAGAAAGTTATATTTCACACAATAACCACATGTCTAATTAGAAATGTTACTAGTTTTTCGTACAGCATATTTTTAATGTGAATAACAACACACGACAAAAAATATGGAGGATTCCTCGAAAAACAAATTGATTTACCTATTCTTCTTTAATTTGCAATTTTGTTGTAAAAAGAAAACGTTTAAATGTATAAGGTCTCAATTTTTGCCAATTAGCCTTAAAAATGTATTCTATGTATATCTAAAATTTCCTTCAATTCAACAACATTCGTAAAAATTTCTGTATTTTACTAAACCTTAACCTGTTCACGACATGTGAACGCATTGTTTATTAACCTCGCTTTTCTCATCCCATACAGGTAGAATATATTTTTTCAAGAACCCCCATAGTGCATAGCATTTTTAGCATATATACGTAGGGAGTTGCTCTCTCTTTGATGCCAAGTTGTACATAGATTTTCATTTTTTTTCTGAGCGAAACTCTAATTACACAAAGGTACACAGGAATCATCATAGTAGCAGAAAAATTGTTTATGTTAAAAATTAGACAGCAAAATGAAATACTTGTTTATGACATAGCTTTACAATCAGAAATCTCTCAAATTTACAAAATTCCATACATGTATACATAGTTGTACCAACGTCTGCATAAAAGAGTCAATGTGTATAAAACGAAAAGCTCATATAAGGGATTAAGACCATGTCATGCTTTTGCTAGGGAAACTCGCCCCTCATTCCGATACAAAACAAAGTATGGGGGTTCGCTTTGCTAAAACTAACTTGTTACACACAACTTGTCATGAAAGTAAGATTTCACTTAAAAAGTGCACATAATTTTTGGTATACAGGGTGAGATGAAAAAACTGCAACCAACTTCAGATTGCTGTCATTTCCAAGCCACTTGTCTGTTAAAATTATTCCAGTGACAGCTCATTATATTGTTTACAAGCGTACAAACGCATTTTGGTGAAAATTTTCCAGACAAAACGTTGTTCGTGATAGAATTCAAACATGATAGTGTGATTTCTTTACATTTGGCTGGAGATCCACAAGTGGCTATCGTTAGGGGACTCCAGCATTTAAATGTGAATAAATCTTTTGTGTCTCGTACCATCGCTCATTACCGTGATACTGGTAGCGTAACCCGACGTCAAGGAAGTGGACGGAAGAAAACAGCAACATCAGCATTGGCCGAAAAATGGCTCATGAGCTGAACATATCGCAATATTCCATTCGGCAAATACTGAAAAATGAACTTACACCACAATAGAAAGAAAAAATCAAAAGAGCTAAAGTGTTGCTTCGCTTGGCCGAAAGTGGTGAACTGCCGAATCTTGTTTTCTCCGATGAGAAAACATTCGTTGTCCAGCAGAATGGTTACAAAATGAGGTTCCTCGCTTCATTTCCAGCGCACAATGGCCACTAAAATCTCCCGATACCAATCCGATGGTCTATTGTGTCTGGAGCATTTTGGAATGCAAGGTTGGCACTAAAAAATACCAAAGTGTCGACCACCTCAAGCAAACGCTTCGCCGGAAATGGGCCAAAATACCGCAAAGCAACATTCGGGCAGCGTGTAACGGTTTTGGCCGTTTGAAGGCTATAGTTCGTGCCAAAGGTGACCAATTCGAACAAATCTAAACTTATTCTAAAATTTGATGCTGTTACCGACATTTTTTGCTTTAGTTCAAAAAAATTAAAAAAAAATAATGTAAAAATTGTGGCGTTTGACTTTGTTGTATTGAGCTATTGAAGAGAACCCCAGCTCTGAATTTTTGAAAGTAACTTTTCCTCTTTTGAACTTAATAGTGTTTTGAAGTACATGGGGACGAAAATTTCTAAATACAAATGTGTAGCATAAGGTGGTAAATGACAACAAGTAGGAAACATTATGTTCGGTCAGGCCGAACTTTAAATACGCTCTGCCATTAGGTAAAGAGGCATTTTTATACCCTCCACCATAGTATGGAGGGTATATTAAGTTCGTCATTCCGATTCTAACACCTCGAAATATACATGTTAGAACCCACAAAGTGTAGATATTCTTTATCTGCATAACATTTTATGTCGATTTAGCAATTTCTGTCCGTTTTTGGAAATCACTCTAGCTTCCCAACGAAACGAAGTAGGTTGAAAAAATTTTACTCAAATGTATATTATATCTGCAGGACTTCTGGTATTGGAAAATCTGTTAAAATATACGACGACATGGACCTGCATAGGTAACTTTTTTCATGAGCCATTACAATATTCAAATAAAAAAAAAATCGGTGAATAATGTAGCTAAAATCATCAAAATACCGAATATCGGGAGGTACCGTTATATGGAGGCTATACGAAGACGTTGACCTGCACTGATATTTTCCTGTCTTCGGCTGTAGTATCCATTTCGAACTTTAAATACCAAATTTAAAACAATTCCGATGAATATTGTCGCTAAAATCAACAAAGTATCGAATATCGGGAGGTACCGTTATATGGAGGCTATACGAAGACGTTGACCTGCACTGATATTTTCCTGTCTTCGGCTGTAGTATCCATTTCGAACTTTAATTACCAAATTTAAAACAATTCCGATGAATATTGTCGCTAAAATCAACAAAGTATCGAATATCGGGAGGTACCGTTATATGGAGGCTATACCAAATCGTGGACCTATATGGCCCATTTTCAATACCAAAAGTCCTGCAGACATAATATACATTTGGTAAAATTTTATCAATATACTTCAATTCGATCGGAAGCTAGAGTGATTTTCACAAACGGACGGACATCGCTTAATCGGCATGGAATTTTCTGCTGATCAATAATATATATACTTTGTATGGTCCCTCCACCATAGTATGGAGGGTATATTAAAATTGTGATTCCGTTTGTAACACCTCGAAATATACATTTTAGACCCCACAAGTGTTCAGCATAACATTTTATGTCATTTTAGCAATATCCGTCCGTCTGTGGAAATCACTCTAGCTTCCGAACGAAATGAAAATGGGTCATGTATGACCACGTTTTGATATAGCTCCATATAGTGGTACCTCCCTTTTTTGGCATTTTAGTGATTTAAACGACATTATTCACCGGAAATGTTTCAAATTTGGTATTTGAAGTTCGTAATGAGTATTACAGCCTATGACAGAAAATTTTCTGGGCAGGTCCACGTCTCCGTATAGCCCCCATATAACGGTACCTCCCGATATCCGTTTTTTAATGATTTTAGGGACATTAGTCCCCGGAATTGTTTAAAATGTTTTGGTATTTGAAGTTCGTAACAGATACTGCAGCCTATGACAGTCAATTGTCTGTGCAGGTCCTCGTCTTCATATAGACCCCATATAGCGGTACCTCCCGTTATTCGGTACATTGATGATTTGGTATTTGAAGTTCGTAATGGATGCTACAACCTATGACAGGAGATTGTCTGTGCATGTCCACGTCTTCGTATATCCCCCGTATGACGGTACCTCCCGATATTTTGATGATTTTAGCGACATTATTCACTGGAATTGTTTCAAATTTGGTGTTTGAAGTTCGTAATGGATACTACAGCCTATGACAGAAAATTGTCTGTGCAGGTCCACGTCTTCGTATAGCCCCAATATAACGGTACCTCCCTATATTCCGTATTTTGATGATTTTAGCTACATAATTCACCGAATTTTTTATTCAAGTTTCGCATTGGAGTATTGTAATCGGACATCGTCGGATATTTTAACAGACTTTTTAACGGATTTTATTTTTTGGAAAATTGCCAGAATCGTTACAAATGGTGGAGGGTATTCAAAGATCGGCCCGGCCGACCTTGCAGTTTTTTAGTTGTTATGTTAAAATTATATAAATGCAGACGTATTCCACTTTAAACTAAAAATACCATTAAGATTGGTTGGGAAATGCGGTAAAGTTTTCAAAAACAAAAAAAAAAGTGGAACCCTAATATGGGGCCAAACCAAAACGAGAACCTATATGGACAATTTGATACTACAAAGATTTTTATTTATTATATGGAAACAGCGTACCAATATGGACACTGTTTTGACACCGGTTGTAGAATCCATAATGAAGTAGAAATTAGCTACCGGAACCCATTATGAACTGCAAATACCAATTTTTAGACAAATCCAAATCTATCAAAATACCTGTAAACTATCAAAATACAGTTTGTATCTCCAATAAAACTGAAATTGGCTTAACTACATACATACTCCGTTTCATCAGAATAAAAAAATTATGAATATCTGTACAACGAGATCGTGCGGAGATTATTAATAACATAAGTTTTGTAGTGTTAAGGGTTTAATAATGCTCAATGTAGTTTGGTTTATCGATTTTTATGGTACCTTATTAATAACTTTAACAGCTACGCCCCGATAAAATATTTTTTGATTAATTTCAATCATTCCAACCGTTCCTACATCTAAACGTATTTATTGTACCTATTTTTGTTTGGCAAATAGGACAATTCTATATTTGTCAGTTCTATTCTTAGTTATTTAACTTTAAATTTCAAAACTGCCGACTACTGGGACATGCCGAAGTTAGGCACACTTACCCTACTGATGAAAATTAATCTTCCAAAACCCATCACTTATTGACGGAATATTGTTTTAAATTTAGAGGACGAAGATAACTAACTTATCAATTAGTCGACCCCAAAAAAACATCCTAAACTCGCACAATGTTATACATGTGTCTGTGAATCTGTGTGAGATATTACCTTAATGTTTTCTGGCTAGCAAATAAAAAAGGCAAATTAAGATCCTAAAACCAACAGTGATTAGTCAAATTTTTTATTTGAACTTCCTCTTTGTTGTAGAAACCCCACAAAATGTCAGCAAAAAATTTGGCAAAAGAAAATTGATAACGGAAACAATACAAATCTTCCTCAGCATAAAATATTAAAACCCAAATTTGAAGCAATTAATCAATCACACAAAAAGAATACACTTAACCCCAATCGAAAGCTAAGAAAGATAAACCTCCTCTTCGTTAAACTCTCGTGTTCTACTAAAAATGTATTAGACAATGGAACCCCTCCTCTATTTACGTATGTTTTTATTTAATTTTACTTACCATTTGTGGTCTGATATTTGTAGGAGAAAATTACAACGAAAAATGATGTAGCATATTTGGCAGCATTCACCAAATGTGGAAAGCTTTCTTTGGTATCACGAAAACGGCGAATACATTGAGCAAAACGGAAATAGGCAGGTAACAGGGCAACGATAGGTCGTACTATGGAGACGTCTTCAATGCAAAAACGACCACCTTCTGCAAATAAACAATAAATAAATACATATAAAAATAGGAAAACGGGAATATTTATGTTCTGACCGGCTATGGCATAGGTTATATACAAGTGACTGGTCGATAGAGACCAAGAATATATTTACTGGAATGATGAAATTTACAAATGAAATTCACTAGCAGATAAAACATAAATCGAAGGAACATAAACATGAACAGTAAGAAATACTTTATTGAGGAATCATTTCGTTTGTTAGGGATTCAATTATTAGCTCTTTTGAAAATTGAACAAGTAATAAAACATTAAGTTTGGCCGAGCCGAAATTTTTATACCCTCCATCACTGGGTAAAGAAAATATTTTTTTTAAATATCTGGATTCAAAGTGTTCAATTTCAAACTACAAATACTAGTAAGACTTTTTGGATAATGCTGTTAAACTTAAAAAAAAAATATAAAGTGAGTGAAGCCGTTATATGGAGCCATACTAAAACGGGAATCTATGGAGACAATTGTATACTACAAAGTTATGTCTTAAAAACCAAAACAAACCGTGGAAAAATGTGACTAAAACCATCAAAATACCGAATATCGAGAGGTATGTTATATGGTGGCTATACGAAAACGTGGAGATATGTATTCAATGTTCCACCACCGGAGCTGAACTGCAAATACCCCTTTTTTTGGCAAATCCGTAAAAAAATGGCTGAAACCACAAAATACCGAATGTCTGGAGGATGCAATGTTCCACCACCAGAGCTCAAACCCTTTACGAACAACAAATACCTCTCTCAGAGAAATCCGTGTGGCTAAAACTTATACCCTCATACGGGGCTATACGAAAACGTGAACCGATATATCTCATTTTCAATACCAACCATCCTAGACACATTACAAATTATTGTACCAACATCAAAAAATGTTGTACGATACCAATTATCGGGAGGTACCGTCATATGTGGCTATATGAAAACGTGGACCGGTATATCTCATTTTCAATACCAACGTCAAATGATGTGGGCTGCATCGTGATTTCAACAGACAGACAGGTATCTTACAAACGGAGTGAAAAGTTAATATGTCCTCCGTTGAAGGTGGGGGGTATATCCCCAAAAATAACAATTGCAAGACTTGTAATGCTCAATATATGAGCACTTTTTGTTGTTGTTCTCATAATGACATATTTTTATTCCTCGCCCATAAGGCTAGAGAGGGTATATAACATTTGATACGGCCAAAACGTGATCCTATGCCTTTTTGGACCAACTCCCTTTCAGGACATTTGGAGTTGATCTAGTCCGTTAGTTCGTCCGTATGTCTGGCTGTCTGATGAAGGGAGTATTGGATTTGGTTCAAACCTGATACATCCTAATATTATTATAAAATTTACATCGGAGATTGTCAATATCGGCCCACTCCTTCTGGTATCTCCCCCCAAAAGGTAGACATTTTCAAATAAATATTTTACTGCACTGAAAGAGAAGGGATAATTCGATTTCCAACTTAGTAATTCATAATATTTGCATAATTGCTAGGTCAGGTACTTGTTTTGCTTGCTGATTTGTTGCAAAGAAACAAAGAAGAGAACATGTGAAAAAGCAGCTAAGTTCCGTAGGACCGAACTTTTAATAACCTCCACCATCTTGAAAGAGCTTCAAAAATTTCACACGAAGACGGGGGCCTGCATATGCATTTTTTTGTGGTTTGTGGCTGTAGTACCCATTAAGATCTTCAAATACGAAAAACATACCGAATAAATACGGAAATCAAAAAAAAAAAATCGGTGAATAATGTCACTAAAATCATCAAAATACCGAATATTGGGAGGTACCGTTGTATGGGGGGCATTTACTAACTTAACCTGCATACTGACAAAATACACATGTATGCAAAATCTTAGCCTTCTATCTCAATTCAATCGAAAGACAGCGTGATTATAACATACAGACGGATATCGCTAAATCAACTTAGAATTTTACATTGGTCCAGAATATATACTTTGTAGGGTCTAGGAGTTACAAACGGAAAGACAACGAAGGATATAGAACATTAAAACAAAAACTTACCCAAACCCATTTTGTTCCATGAAGGATTCTGTCGAAAGAAGCATATGACAAAGGGAATATCCAAAAATGCCGGTACAATACTATTCAATTGATCCGCCAACCAGAAGTCAGCAAAATTTACAAAGAAAAACGGGGCCATTACCACGCGACTCAACACTCGTACAGACCAGTAACGTGCTTCATGATAAAATGTCTTTGTTGGATTGAGCAAAAATGCAGCCATGATGGTGTACAGAAATATTGGCGGTGCATACTGAGGTATGCCCAAGAGGTCACAATAGATATAGAACAGTACGGAAATTGCCCATAGAACTCCAAAGACGGAAGCAATTTCCATAATGTTTTGTTCTGATAGATGATTACGTGGATCCAATTCGAATATCAGGACGTGATTAACACCCGATGAACGCCAGCCATATACGTTGACTCCCCACAGGAAGAGGCATTCAATGATGAGGAACGGTCCACGGAACATGCGCAACCCCACCCGCCAATCTTCTCCAAATCCATAAAATGTTGCCGAAAGTATGACGGTTATGAACAAAACCACAAAAGCACCCGAAAAAAGTCCCACTTTAAATGTTGTCCAAGGACTTTGAGCTTCACCCAGAGGAGGTACTCTCAATCGTTTCATGGCCTTTTGGCGATCGCCTCCCTCGATGTCATGGGTAAATGCGGTTTCTGTTTCCTGTATAAGGCGATCAATGTCTTTGTTCACATAAAAATGAGCCACCTCCACATGCTCCTTACGCCACGTTGCACCGAAGTCAACATTTAACAATTTGTCATGTTTTTTGAGAATTTTCCGAAACCCGGTAAAGTTCAGATTCTGATAGTTTTGCAGCAATATCAATCCCAGATAAAATTCACTAAACGCCAATTTCAAATCCTGCAACTTACGGGCCGGAACATTGCGTTTGCCAAGCGGTGTCTTGGATTTCCACGCTGGCTGTTTCTTGACCGTTCCCATTTCCAGGGTCTCAGTTAACTCGCTTCTAAGGTTGCCATATTTGCGGGTTGCCTCTGCCATTTTTTCCGAATAAAAGGTATTGATCTTTGCCAATTCCTTGTCGCAATAATGAAAAAATTGTTCGTCGAATTTGGCAAAATAACGTGTTAGCACATCGGGATCGACCAATTCGGCCGACGGCGCCTGTTCAACAGCGGCATAGAGCATAGCTTTCATTTCCTAAAAATAAAGAGAGGGGAAATGTTAAACTGTTAAAATGGAAAATGAGTCTATTAAATGAAAAGTATTAAAAGTCCTCCATTGTCTAGACTAAAGTCTCTTCAAAAAGCCAAATAAACTTCTGATACGAAATACAAATCGTTTATCTTTATCCTAACTGTACAAGTCACTCCATACACATAAGACCATTAGAACTCATGGATGTCTTCTAGACCTCTTTTGTAAGACCTCTTGAAGATTTTTGATCTCTACACGAATTCTTGTCGATATTCGATTTCTAAAATACCTCTTGGAGGTCTTTTAGAGCGAACGAAGACCTCTAAAAGGAAGGAACGTACACAGAAATGCCATCCTTTCCCTGTTTGTAGGTCTTCGGTCATTAAAAGACCTTTAAAATTTTCGAACTATTTCAAAACTTTCAACGATCTTGGATTTTTAGATATCCTCTTGAAATACTTCGATCTACAGAGCTATTTGGAAGTCTATGATCTATAGACGGCCTTCAAGACCTCTTGAAGATCATCGATCTATAGAAGGCTTCTTGAAAGTCTCTACAAATCGTGGATGTCTTTGATCTATAGATGACCTTTTCAATGTATGTAATCTGTTCACCCTTCAAGGGCTTCGATATAAAAAGGGACTTTAAAAGGTCTACCAGATATTCCGCAGGGCTCTAGACCCCTTTAAGGCGTTTTAACTCTCGACACCCTATTAGAGGTCATTTAGTTTGTTGAAAGCCTTCTATTCATAAAAGGTCTCTTGAAGATTTTTGATCTGTAGAACATCTCTTGGAAGTCCTTTAGAACTCTTAATGGTCTTCTATCAATAAAAGAGTTTTCTAGATCCGCAGACCTTCCGAAAATCTGAATTCCAAAACTGGTATTCAAACCTCTCAATCGTCTTTAATCAAAGAATTCCTCTTTGAAGGTACTCTACCTTAAGACGGCCACTCAAGGGTCGAATATTTGTTGACATATAGAAAACCTCTTGCTGGTATTTGATCTATAGGTAGACGCAAGGAGGCCTTCTAGACCTCTTGAAGATCTACGATTTATTGGTCCTCAAAAACCGCGTTCAAATCCATGATATATGGAAGGCCCCTTGAGGATATTTCCGACATAAGGAAGGAAGAAGGTTTTTGAACTACAGAAGCTCTCTTGGATTGTTCGGTCTTCAGATAGAAGTAATTCGATTTTAATGAATTCTGCTTTCTGCTTTCTATGGAAAACCTTATAAAGATAACTTATAGTGGTCCAATTGCTAGTCTCCAATACGAAGTAAAGAAGGCATTTAAAGTACGTTTAATGTTCTTAGAGAGAAATATTTAGATATAGGAAGTTGTAATGAATCGCTGACTTATTTCGCAAGTTATGACAGATAATAGTATTTAAAATGGTGATCCTTTGTGGGTGAGGTACCAGAGGGAGTTCGCAGATATATATCATCTTCACAACAGATCTTGTGTTAGCAAAAATGTTTGTATGTGTAATTTGAAGAGAACTGGATGCTTATTGAAAACAATTTGAAGACAATTGGACTCGTGCATTACATTTTATAAGAGTTTTAATTTTTCCAAATTTTGACCGTTTGTGGTGGAGGTATATTGGTGGAGGTTGGTGGACGGATAATGTCCATTTTCGCACCTGACGTAGTAGGGTCTAAAACAGTTATGTCGATGAGGCACGTTTTGGCCGTATCATATGATGTATACCCTCTGTAGCCATATAGCTGAGGGTATAAAAATTTCGCCAAATGTCACTCATTTTTTTCATTTAACTCCCGACGTAATGTAATCTGAGTGTTTCAACTAAAGGTCTACACAAGACGAATTGTATGAATTATGCTTTTTTTGACACACTGACTTTGTCTATTCAATCATGTCATATGTATTTGATAGACAATGACAACCAACAACATCCCCCATTTTGTGCCATTGTATAAGGTTCGATTGTGGCATGGCTGACTCGAATATTTGCATGGTGTTTTTCATAAATGCAGGGGGTCGACGATGACATTGAACCATATCATCGTCAAATTGTGTGTCATTTGTGTACGTCTGCTTAAATTGAGAGAGTATGTGCTACTGTGCTACTTTCGACGGTGAGGATGTGTTTTTGTGTGTGCTGCAATTTTGAAGTAACAAACACGGCATACATATAAATTAGAAAATTTTCAAAAAAAAAAAAAAAAAAAATAAAATCCATTAAAAATTCTTTTAAAATCTTTAAAATATCTAATATAAGAAGGTGCCGATATGTGGGGATATACGATATTGTGGACCTATAAAGACAAATCTATGTCTGCGTGTAAAGTACTCACAAAGAACTCCTTGTGTGGATTTCCAAAATACCGAATATCGCGAGGTATCGTTATATGGGAGCCATACGTTATCGTTAACCTATATAGAGAATTCTCTGTCGGGGGGTAAAGTGCTCACAAAGAACCCCTTGTGTACAAAGAACCCCTTGTGACCATTCCGTTGAAAAATATGGCTAAAAACATCAAAATACCGAATATCGGGGGTACCGTTATATGGGGGCTATACGATATCGTGGACCGATATAGCCCATCTTCGAACTTGACCTGCCTGCAGACAAAAGAGAGATCTGTGCAAAATTTTAGCTTCCTATCTTAATTCGTTTAGACTGTAGCGTGATTACAACAGACGGACGGACAGGGCTAAATCGTCTTAGAATTTTACGCTGATCAAGAATATATACACTTTGTTGGGTCTAAAATGATTATTTCGATGAGTTACAAACGGAATGACAAACTTAATATACCCTCCATACCTTTTATGGTGGAGGGTATAAAAATATTCTTTATGACGTTGTTGAGGGCAGAGATATTAAGAAAATTTATCAGTTTTTTTTTTAACAAGGATTAAAATTTTGGATTGTTTCGTCAATAACCGAAATGTGAAAATTTTGTGTGGACCAATTAGAAGTAACTAAAATATGTTATTATTCGCCAAGAAATACTTTATTACAAAATATGTATTTTTTTACATATCGGAAAAACAGGTAGCGATTGCGCTTTGCCTTCATCGTCTCGTCGTCTTTTTCGTTGGCAATTGTTTCATTATTGTTGTAATTTTTGTGCTAGAACATTTTTGTATAACACACTATTCAACATCCCCTTTTATTGGTCATTACATGTTATGACGATGGGTTTGAGTCTGACCGACATGACGAGACATCGAGCATTTGGTTGGATGTCACATACTGTTATGCGTTTGATCAAACAGGGCACAACATGACGAGCGTTTCCTCTCCATGGCATAAATAGAGAAATATGTCACACTTGCAGCCCTTTAGTTTCAACTGCATTTAATCCCCAATGACTCAGGTTCGCAGAAGACATAATCTTTTCCTGCAGAAAACGTTCGTTATAGACCTCCTATTTAATATGGTATCTACAAAGCGACACTGTTTCGTTTATCATTTGAACCTATCGCTAGATGAGTCAAAATATCGGTAAACTTTAATATATAAACTCCATCGGATTTTGTGTTGAGTATTTGGGAAACTCCACATTTGAAGAGATATTAAAATCAACATATTTGGCTGCAATTGTAATGAATTGTAATGCAATTGTAATGTCACCCACTGTATGGCATATTAACAACGGGTTTGTTAGCGCTAAAATAGGTATGTATATTTGTATGTGTACATACTTTCACTTTCATGTTTTTCACTTGTGTGCATGAATGTCATCGGTGACGTGTACAATAACATTCTCAATATGCAGCACAATTCTCTACCTCCCTTCTTGCCCATATGTACATAAACCTGTTGTCTTTATTGTTTATAAACAACATTTTTGTTCTCAGCACGTGTTTTAGCATTAACACATGTATTTGTTTATATTTCACAAGTTCATTTCCCGGCTAACAGCTGAGAGTGTCTGCGTCGGCGCCAAAAATTTCCCAAAAATATTTACATGTGTTCTTTGGCGAGTGACGTCATCGTTTATTTTGTACTCCTCGTTTTGTGTCTTCCACTAATGCAGCTGAAATAACAGATGGACACCTTTTTCGTACATACATACATATGTATATGTATACACACAAGAAATTCATTTTTTCACTTTCATTTAAGAAAATTTGGAAAGCACTTTGGAAGGGTTTTCTTCGACAATTTTCATACCTCATAATTGATGTACTGTTTGCGCCATTCCGGAGTGATATGGGCCGTCAAATGTTCGGCAAATTTCATTTTGATTTTATTGGAATAAAACGAATTGCACTAAATAAATTTTCAAACATTTGTTTAAAACACAGAGCACCGATGCAGACGAACAAACGCACGAACACCTCAAAATAATGTGATTTGTTTTTCTTTTTCTGAGGTTTATGTACCAACGCGTCGTTGAAGACTGAATATTTCCCAAAACAATGAGAGTTTTCCACCAGTGAAAATTCTATAGAGCTTTTTTTGGTATTTTTAAAATGAAACAGCTTTATGAATCTCAAAAGCTTTTGTGGCTTTTTGATGCTTTATGCTAAAAAATTGTTACAATTTTTAAATTCAAAAATATTCCTTTCGTAACTGCAAAGTGGGTAATTTTGATGTTTATACCCTACAACACCATGTGTTTGGGGGTATTATAAGTTTGATTGGGCCAAAAATTATGTAACACCTCCCACATAGGAAAGTATCCTATCTTTCCGAGCTGAGTCGATCTAGCTATGTATGTCAGTCTGTCAGTCTGTCCGTCTGTCCATGCTAATTTGTAATCACTCTACAGGTCACAATTATGGCCCGATTACGAAATTTAGAATGGAAGTGGTGCTAGAGTCAGAATAGCACCCTATTGTTTTTGGAGATGATCGCATAATATTTAGGGGTTAAAATGGACCAAAAACTGAAAAATTTCCTGATTTTGCAGTTGCTCTACAAGTCGCAATTATAGACCAATCGAAGCGGAAGTTAGCATGGAACTAGAGCTTAGGGTTGGGCAGAAGTCTTCCAATTTTTAATAATCATCGGGTAATATTTAGTGGGTGAAATAGACCATAACATTTTTTGTTAAATAAAATTCAAATTTAGTATACATATCGGATATATATAGCGAAATATATACAATGTGTATATACAAAGGGAAAGGGATGTTAGCGAGAATGTTCATATCTCAAGAATGGCCGGACCGATTTTAACAAATTTTGTCAATTCAGAATGCCCTCTTGCCAAAAAAGTATAAAATCTAAAAAAATATTAATATAGATTTTGTAATATTTTGCGACATTTTTTTATATTTTCATTTTTTTATCGCATGGGATTTTTTCAATTTGACTTATAATATTGAAGTGTATATTTTGTAATATTTTTTCACCTTACAACACAGGCTGAAGTTATTATATGCAGATTGCAATTATAGTCCGATCCTCGCAAAAATTTTCATAAGGGTAGGGTTAGACTTAGAAGGGCTAGGCCTATTGTTTTCAAAGATGACCGCAATATATATAGGGGTTGAAATGGACCAACAACTACAAATGTTCCTAATTTTGCAGCCTTTGTAAAGGTCACAAATAGAAACAAAAGGACACGAAAACATGCATGTAGTTAGAGTTTAAGACAGCGGGTAGAATTAGTAGTCATTCTACCCGCTGTCCTTAACTCTTTTGTGTAAAAAAATACCAACATTATTTACTTATGCTGATTTCGTTGACGACTATAGCTAAATATCGTAGACAAGCAAATCATATATATAGTCTAAATTTGGATATACAGAGGGGCCTTTGGAGATGATCGCAAAATATTTAGGGGTCCAAATGGACCAAAAACAGAAAAAAATCCTGATCACACAATTGAAGCCAAACGATACTCCTGAGAAGGAAGTTAAGGATAGAGAAGAATTCTAGCATTACGGATGACCATTGGATTATATTTAGCTGTTAAATGGACTACAACAACTAACAGCACGACGGAGTGCGTAAATATTGGGCAAATGTCTCTGGTCAACATGCTGAGGGTAATATCTGGGCAGTGCTCCGTGACATAATTGCAAAGGCGAAATCTTCCAAAATAGATTTGGACATAAGGGGGCTTCTAACAAAGGGTAGTGTTGTAGAGTATCACAATGTCGGCCCGCACGACTATAGCCTTTGCTTACTTGTTCCAAATATATTTATATTTTTGCATTTTTAGTGTGCTTTGAATCACGTTTTTAAGGGAACATTTAAATTTTTTATTTGGCAATATATACATTTTAATTGAGTTTTTCGCCATTTTAGTGTATTTATTTTAGTAGCTAATTCCTTATTTTGGCCATAAATCTCTAATTATTGAGTTATTCGGTTTTTATAGATAAACAATTAATTTCCTTATTTTTGCTATACCTTGTTTTTTCTTTTTTGTTTTATAGTCGAATACATACTTTTTAATATTGGTCATAACTCCTTAATTATTGAATATTTCGCATAGACGAACGCTCAATTTTTATGCTGGGAAGTTTTAGAGTGTTGTAAATCCTAACTACCTATATTCGGTATTTTAATGATTTCAGCGATATTATTCACCGAAATTGTTTCAAATTTCGTATTATATGTTCGTAATGGGTAATACAACCAGTGATAGAAAATTGTGTATAGCCAACATATAAATTGTGTATAGCCTACAAACAAAGACAAAAAATTACATACACAACGGTACCTCCCAATGTTCGATATTTTGATGTTTTTGTGACATTATTCACTGGATATGTTTCATATTTGCATATTGTAACGGTCTTTGACGAAAATTGCCTATGCAGGTCCACGGTAACTCCCTATATTCTGTATTTTTATGATTTTAAGATAGTCCTGAAAAGCTTATTTTTTTGTGAAAATTCCCAACAACACCGAACTGTCAATATTTAAGGAGTTATGGCCATTTTAAAGTGCAATATTTTTCATTTGTTCAGTTTTTATCAGTAAAAAATAACATACGTTAAAATGGCCATAATTCCTTAAATATTGGCATTTCAGGGTTGTTGTTGTGGTTATGCTTTTAGTTTTTATACCCTACAACACTGTGTTGGGGGTATTATAAGTTTGATTGGGCCACAAATTATATAACGCCTCGAAATATTGGTTTCCCACATAGGAAAGTATATATGGATCTTCCTATCTCGCCGAGCTGAGTCGATCTAGCTATGTATGTCTGTCCGTCTGTCTGTCCATGTTAATTTGTAATCACTCTACAGGTCGCAATTATGGCCCGATCTTTATTTAGAATGGAGGTGGGGTTTGGGCCAGAATAGAACCCTATTGCTTTTGGAGATGATCGCATAATATTTAGTGGTTGAAATGGACCAAATACTGAAAATTTTCCTGATTTTGCAGTTGCTCTACAGGTCGCAGTTATAGACCAATCGACGCGGAAGTTAACATGGGGCTAGAGCTTAGGGCTGGACAGAAGCCTTCCAATTTTGATGGTCATCGGGTAATATTTAGTAGGTGAAATAGACCAAAGCATTTGTGCTAAATAAAACTCAAATTTTTCATTAAACCGCGAATATTTTTAATCCCGGCGAAATCAGAAATAGATGCAGAGGTCAATTCTGACCGTTGCGTAGATGCCGATAGTAAATATATCTGATATATATCGGGAAATATATACAATGTTAATATACAATGAAAAGGGATGTTAGCTAGAATGCATATATCTTAAGAATGGCTGGACCGATTTCGACAAATTTTGTCAATTTAGAATGCCCTCTTGTCATAAGAGAATATAATCGAAAAAAATCGCATAAAATGTGCCCATAATGGTGTTTTTATATATTTTGTAGTATTTTGTGACATATTTTTATTTTTTTTCATATTTTTATCGAATGCGATTTTTTCAATTTGACTTATAATATTGAATTTTACAGTTTGCAATTATCGTCCGATCTTCCCGAAAATTTTCACAAAGGTAGGGTTAGACTCAGAAGAGCTATTGTTTTCAAAGATGACCGCAATATATTTAGGGGTTAAAATGGACCAACCACTAAAAATGTTCCTGATTTTGCAGCCGTTATAAGGTCGCAAATAGAAACAAAAGGACATGAAATCTCGCATGTAGTTAGAGTTTAGGACAACGGGTAGAATGGACCACTACTTTTGTGTGCAAAAAATACCAATATTAATTACAAGCGTTATCCGAAATACACAAAAGGCGAACTTCTGGCTTTGTTATGCTGATTTCGTTGATGAATATAGCCAAATATCGTAGTCAAGCAAATCATATATATGGTTCTAAATTTGTAGAGGCAGAGCGGCTTCTTGCTTTTGGAGATGATTGCAAAATATTGAAGGGCTCAAATGAACCAAAAACAGAAAAAAATTGCTGATCACACAATTGAAGCCAATCGACATGCCTGAGAAGAGAGTTAAGGTAGGGAAGAATTCTAGCTTTTTGGATGACTATTGGATTATATTTAGCTGTAAAATGGACCACAACAACTAACAGCACGACGGAGTGCGCAAATGTCTCTGTTCAAAATGCTAAGGGCAATATCTGGACAGTGCTCCATGACAAAATTTCAAAAGCGAAATCTTCCAAAATGGACTTGGACATAAGGGTGCTTCTAACATATTGTAGTGTTGTAGGGTATCACATTGTCGGCCCCGCACGACTATAGCCTTTGCTTACTTGTTTAATAATGAAAAATATCACATTGTAAAATGACCATAACCCCTTATATGTTTTAAATTGCAGTTTCTTAAAAAAGAACAAATAAGCCTATTTTAAAATGGACTTACCACCTTAATATTGACGTTTCAGTGTTTTTGGCATTTTTTAAATTGCAGTCTCTTAACAAGGAAAAATAGCCTACTTAAAAATTTCCATAACTCCTTAAATAATAACATTTCGGCATTCTTAGCTATCATTTGTGATTACTTTTTAAGGCGTGAATTATTGAATACTTTAAAATGGCCATAACTCCTTAAATATTAACATTTCTTCGCTTTTAGCTATTATTTGTGATCACTTTTAAGGCATGTATTATTGAATACTTTAAAATGGCCATAACTCCTTAAATATTGAGTTTTCGGCGTTTTTACCTATTATTTGTGATCACTTTTTAAGGCATGAATTATTGAACACTTCAAAATGGCCATAACTCCTTAAATATTGAGTTTTCGGCGTTTTTAGCTATTATTTGTGATCACTTTTTAAGGCTTGAATTATTGAATACTTTAAAATGGCCATAACTCCTTAAATAATAACATTTCGGCATTCTTAGCTATCATTTGTGATTACTTTTTAAGGCGTGAATTATTGAATACTTTAAATGGCCATAACTCCTTAAATATTGAGTTTTCGGCGTTTTTAGCTATTATTTGTGATCACTTTTAAAGGCATGATTTATTGAATACTTTACTATGGCCATAACTCCTTAAATATTAA